GAACGCCCAGCGGCTCGGTAGTGCGGTGGTAGGGATCGCGCGCCGGAATCGGCCCGAAATGTGCAAATTCTTGCGAGCACTGTTCTAAAAGGTTATAAATAATCAAATGATCAAAAGGCATCGTTTCTTCGTAGCTAACAAATGAGATTTTAGTCACTACTTGCTACTCAACACACACTATGTGCTTTAAATTTAATTTGATTTCATCGGAGTATATAAACCAATAAGACTAATATATCCTATTTCATATATGTTTGTGGTGAACAGTTCAAAATTGAAGACAACACATCGGAGTTTCTGGCTTATATTAACGCTAGTGCATAAAAATGATAAAGTACTTAATATATTTAAGTGGTAACTATTACCAATATATATATATTGAATTGTTCTTGTCTCACGGCAATGTGTTAATTATATTTAATTTATCGTAGAAATTTCAAAGTCAAGTCAACCACCAAAACAAAAGAATAAAAGTGGAGGTTATTCCATGCTACCGATTTTCAATCTTTGATGCGTCCCAACTTTACCATACACAAATTCTCAGAATATTTCCATACAGGATTAAGGCTTCATCTTTTGAAATGTCTAAACTACGTTGTATTCTGTGGACTATTATTGTCTGCGTAATCTTTATTGTGATAAAACAGTGCTGGGATTTAGGGCCTTGACACAAAAATAGTCATAAGGATACGTTCGGGGAGCTCGCTATTAGGGAGTTTTTGCAATAGGGAGTTTTTGCAATAACGTGAATTCAGATACGGTGAACGTTAAAGTCACGTTATCTGATAGAAAACGAAACTGCGCATGCGCATTATTTACCGTGACGCTATTCTGATAACGTCCAACCTTATTTCTTAGCAAATAAGGTTCGTGATTAGCGTCGACATTATAACCTAATAGCATGGTGGCAGAACATAACCATGGCCACTACGAACTTTAGACTACGATTCACGAATGAGGATGACCTCGTACTCTTAAAAGAGGTTACATCTCTAAATCCATACGAAGATAAGGAAAGATGGAAAACCATTGCAGACCGTGTGGGAGCAGCATCTAAAAAAAATTTCAGTGTACGTGCTGTCCGAGATCATGTCGAGCATCTTCTTAAAAACTGGATAAAAACAAATCGTGCGAACTTGAAAAAGTAAGTATTCTAAACGTTTATGTAAACTATAAAATAACTATACTACAAAATAAACTCAAAAATGATAGTCTCTTAAAAACATTATATAACTTCACTATTGATTCGATTTACATAATTTTAGATGCGAAATTCGTCTGACTAATGATATTAATTTGTAGATCAGGAATAAAAGAAGAATACACAGAAAAGGAACAGCTGCTTCAAGAAATAGAAGATTTGCAACAAGAATATAAAGGAACAGCTGCTTCAAAAAAAAGTAACAATTCTAACCTACAAAACCGAGGAATACAAGCAAGAGATACAGCATTAAGACATGTTAATCTGTCGGAGACAAATGAAAATGTTAATCTGTCGGAGACAAGTGAATTAGAACTTCAAGAACTTACGTTACCTATCTCTTCAACAAACGCTCCATCAAGTCCGACGTTAACACCAGTAGCATTACAACAAGATTTTATTCCTTTTACGTGTTTAACGGATACTCTATCAATAAGTTCAGTACCACATCACTATTCACCACAACCAATACTATCACCAGGATTAGCACCATCACCATCACCAGAATCAGTAACATTACCATCACCAGGATCAGTACCATCACCAAGATCATTATTAACATCTCCTAGAACGCCATTATCAACTTTACAAGGTTCTATAAGAAATAAGGATGTCCTGAGGATGTCCTTAGGATGTTCAAAGGATATACATCCTTTGGACGTCCTCAGGACATTCCCTGGAGATCTGTGTTGTTAGGGAAGACATATGTATATTAGAGAAAAAAGATATCAAGATTTTAAGATTTGTGTAAATATTTCACATTTTTTCCAAACATGTTTTTATATATTTTGTGAAATAAATATTTTATATATTTGAAATATCTATTCTGTAAACGTAGACCTATCTTATACGAATTTATGTAGAATTTTTGTGGATAAAATAAAAAGCTCTTAATATATCTAGATATCCTTTAATATAATTTGTCTTGTAACATTGTTTATCTGTCTCTGCATTCTTTCTGTAATTTATATATTCCATTACATTTTACATTTATAAATGAACATTAAAGTAAGTATTCTTCTAATGTATGCGGATTAATATTAAAATATTGAGCAGTTTGGTTACTGTATAAACATGTGTGACAATTTGCCAAAATTGTTGCTGTTTTGTACATTGAAACTACATCTTGAAGCAAGAGTTTCTGGTTTTTCTTGAAATCAAGGAATGCAAATAGCATTATTATTTTACTAAAACCCCATTCGACCGCTTGCCTTACAGAGCTCATTCTTAAATTAAAGATCTCTTGTTCATGAGTCAATACTCTACTCGTATATGGTCTAAATAATAGTTCGTGCATAGGATAAGCAGAATCTCCGTAAAATACAAAATTAGTATCTGGAAATGATGCACACCTTTGTAATTGAGGATACAAAAGCGAGTCTCTAAATATACCTGTAAAGAAAATATAATATATCTTTGACTATGCTATAATGCTAAATCAGCTACATTTATAGAATACCTGCGTCATGTCGTCTACCAGAATAGGGTCCATGAAGACTAACTACTATACCATCTGGACATAGTACAGATTGATATTTGAGACAATGTTGCCGTTTATGACCAGAATAATACTCTTGTTGATTCACAGATGGTCGACATATTGCTCGTGCTGTACCGTCAATGAATCCCCAGCAATTTCGCACAGGTGCTCTTTTCATAGAAACAGCCTTTAAAAAAAAATAAATTTCACTTATTATTGTAACAAAACCATTTAAGATATTTTATATATATACATCATATCAATTATATCAAGCTCTTGACGATATATCAAGGTCTCGAGGTGGACAGAGCTAACGAGCACATTTATAAAATACAGACAATTTTGTAGATTAATCCATGAGCCAAAATGTCTGTCTGGAAAGTTAATGTGTAACTTGTATAAAAAGAATGTATTGAGAAAATATAAATATATAACGCTCATTATTGTTCTCATTAACCTTTCTTTGTTAATAGTTTTGTTTTTAATTGTAGCCTCTCACCTGTGAATAATATTCGAGCTTGTTTCTATTAAGCCATGGTAGATTATTTAGATCTGTCAATAAATGTCCTTTCTGTCGTTGAATTAGTCTCATTACAGTATTGGAAATTACTGAGAGATAAGGAACAGACAGGCCAAATTTAATTTCTAAATCTGACAGTCTATTAGGATATGCTAAACGTCTCAAGTATATACATAAACCTTCTATACCTATAAAAAATTCAAAAGAATCTTTGTATTTTCACGTGAGTGTTTTACAGATTAGCTTATATATCATAATCCTATAAATCAGTTAACTTACCTGAAACGACATATCGATTTTCTGTTTCTATTTGGTAAGGTATACCAAGAGCAGCTGCAAGTCTTCCAATGTGTTCTCTTTCAAATCGAAATTTTGCTTTACATTCCTGTGGCATCAAATTATTTAAATCTAATCCTTCATATTGCATATTTCTAATAAAGGCATTATTACGTGGTGCCAACAACTCTTGTATAATAACATCTTCCACGAAATTAAAATCGTACATGGCAAGCTGTAATAAGTCCTCCATCTTATGTCACCGTAGCGTCCTGCGTCCGTTGCGCAAAAACTCTTATTGGTTAGAGCACGTAAAGATGAAATACGGTTTAAGTCATGTGACTTTAGCGTTCACCGTATCTGAATTCACGTTATTGCAAAAACTCCCTATTAGCGCCATCGAACGCTAACGCTGTTCGGAGAGCTCCCTACCAACGCTATGAACGCCATCCATGACGTCATTGTCGGTAGCGTTTGCCGCCATAACTTGCGCTACCAGCGCTCTTGCCTCCGAGGAAGTGTATGGGTAGCGTTAGCGTTTATGATCCTCTAATCAGAATCGCGACACGAGGAACAGCCAATTTTGATCAGTCATTCTATTAGTCCGTCATTTTTCAGCAATTCCCGCCAATATTCGAATGTCAATATTGTAGGAATGGGCGATGTGCGTATCGATACGCTAAAAATCGTTTGCAAACTAATCTATTTTATGAAAAATCAATTTTCCAACAAAAACAAGCATAGAATGACAGATAGCGTTAATAGCATCTCCTCGAACGCACCTATTATACGATTGAAGTAATGCTTACTAAAAAAATTATGCAAAATGTATCTGCGCAATATAATAAGAAAAAAGGTTAACTTATTAAATAATCATAATTAACATATAGAAAATAAATAGAACTTTAAAAAGACACAGAGTTGTCACATATTTTAATAATTTTCTTATAATGAAACTACAAATATTATTTAACCTCGCAGAGATATGCATTTTTCGTTGGTGTCCAATTTTTTCCAACATTTGTTGCCCATAATGCTCGACGTTCAACATCACGCGGAAATATTTTCATTATGTAGCCTTTGGCTACAGAATTATTGCAAAATATAGCTGTACACCCAATTTTGCAATAATTTTTAATAATGTTCTAAAAGTCGTACTATAGAAAGACGTATCTAACGAGATCACGACCAGTGTTGTTAGACGGACCGGATTTCTGGCGCATACGCGACGATGAAACAGTGAGCGCAGTGGTGTATAATAATGTGTAGCCAGTGTAGAAGAAATGGGCGCGTAGTCTTGGCGGGCTCTGTGTAAGGATGGGCTAGGTAAGATAAGTATAATTTGTTTTATTTAGTTTAATTTAAGTATATTTTATTGGGTGGCACCCAGTTGGACACGGCTCAATTGGACGCGAGCCACTCACAGCGCTTGAGACTACAACTCCTAAGCACCGGTCGCTGTGATTGGTAGTGTCCAATCGAGCCGTGATCAATCCGGATCACCCCTATTTTATTTAAATATAGAAAAAGGAGCAATTAAGAAACGTAAAATTAGGGCATTTCAATCTTCATGGCTAGATAAGAATGTGTTTAAAGGATGGTTAGCTCCTTACCACCAAGAAGATAAAGCAATATGCACTGCATGCAATACACTCATCAGATGTTGTAAAACAGATTTGATTAAACACTCACAAGGAGTGAAACATGTTGGAAATATAAATTTTAAAAAATCAGTTGATAATGACAATAATAAATCAGAAAAATTATCACATAAAGATAAAGTTAAACAATTCGAAATTAAATTAGCAGCATTTTATGCTGAATATAATGTCGCTTTTTATACCGTAGATCACTTAGTTCCACAATTGAAGGATATTTGCATGGATCCTAAAGTTGTACAAGATTTTACATTAGGCCGACTAAAATGTACAAATATCGTTAAAGATATAATAGCAAAACGTGAAATCGAAAAAGTTGTCGATAAATTACAATTTTCTAGATTTTCAATTTTAATCGACGAAAGTACCGATATTTTAGACTCAAAATTAATGTGTGTTCTTGTCCGATGTTTCTCCCGTAAATAAAAAAGTTATGATACAATTATTAGAATTAGTTACTTTAGATGCTAGAGATTGTTCCGCGAGTAAACTTTTTGAAATATTTAAAAATCTTTTAGAAGAAAAAAAATTCCACTTAAAAATATTGTCGGAATGGCATGTGACAATGCATCAGTTATGATTGGATGCAATAATTCTTTTATGCAACGTTTAAAATTATAAATACCGCGATTAGTAACATTAAATTGTATTTGCCATTCCTCCGCGATTGTTGCCAGTAAAGCTTGTGAAAAATTGCCTTCATCTTGTGAAAATTTAATTAGAAGTATTTCTACTTATATTTCGGGTAGTGCGAAACGATGTGCAATTTTACGAGAATTTCAAGAATTCTTCGAAGTGGAAAGGAATAAGTTATTAAAATTATCAAATACTATATGGCACATTTCACAAAAGTGCGTTGTTAGAATTCTTGAAAATTGGAACGTATTACAAAATTATTTTGTTTTAGCAGTAGTTGAAGATAAATTGAAATCTGCAGAAGTTATTTTATCTCACCTAAACGATGACATTATCAAAGCGTATTTTTTATTTTTAAAATATGTATTAAATTTTTTTAACAGTTTCAATGCTTTATTCCGGTCACGTAAAATTTTAGTCTTGGTCTAATTGAGACCGAAACGTCTATATGTAATTTTAATTATTAAATATATATTTATTCGCGACGAATATCCTGCGTTCGTAGTTGTATGCCTTTTATCCAATTCTTGTTGTTAAAATATATTAAATTTAGAAAATATTCATGTTAGACTCGCGAATGTGAGAATCTTTTAAAATTATTACCTTTGGAATGTAGACAACAAATTAAATTAGCATGTTTAGACTTTTATAAAACAGCAGTACAAGAAATGCTTAAACGCTTACCGTACAAGGATCCTCTTTTTGAACATTTAATTTTTTTAGATCCGAAGATTGCCCTTTATGATGAAAATAGAATAAAAATTAAAGATTTATCTCATATCGCTGTGATTATAGAAAATATAGATATTACTCAATTAGATTTTGAATGGCGCATTTTACCATCCATTTTTGACGATAAACAAACAAAGGAATTAGCTTCTTTAGAAATTGATGAAATGTAGGGCAAAATATTAGCACATAAAGATTTTAATGATGAAATAATGTTTCCAAATTTACAATTATTAGTAAGAGCAGTTCTTTCTTTACCTCATTCTAATGCCAAGGCCGAACGAATTTTTTCTATAGTAACAGACGCCAAAAATAAAAAAAGGAACCGATTATCTAATGATACTGTTTCTGCAATTTGTGTAACTCAGTCAAGTTTTCAAGCAGAAGGCATTAATTGT